GAGTAGTAGTTGTCGCAGTAGTAGTCGTACTTGTCCTTGTCGTCGTCGTCGTCGTAGCAGCAACATCAGTAGTACTACTACCACCAGCACAGGCGACAGCAATCAGCAGCAGTAGCACCAGTGGTGACGTTACTGGTAGCGGCAGCAGGAGCAATTGTGGGCGTAGTGGTACACAGAGTAGTGGTACTGGCACAAAGAGAGGTAGGAGTGGAAGAAAGCGTAGGAGCAGTAGGAGTACTTGGAGCAACACCAGAACCAACGTTCGGGATTTTCGAAGCTTGGAACCTGCCGAGGACGTGAACTCACTGAGCAGCCCGAGCTTCCATTCCATGAGCACCCACATGCCTGGATATGCCCCGACGAGCCGAGATGATTCCCCAGACGAGGAGGAGGTCTTGGGGGCTTCGGAGGAGTTTGATGCCCTCTATCCAGTGACCGCTCCTCCCGCTACCGGACCCGAATACGACCAGTGGTTGGCACAGCTGCCTTCCATAGGCTCGGCAAACCACTTTAACGGCACCTGCGATCGCTGCTGCTTCCATCCCAAGGGGCGCTGCATGAACGGCTACAACTGTCAGCATTGCCACTTCGACCACGAGAAGCGCAAGCGCAAGAGCAAGAAGCGCACGGAAAGGGCAGAGCCAGGCTCGGAGATCGGCTCGATTCCTCCAACCCCTCACGGCCCTCACGAGACTTTCTATGCCCCAGCCCTTTCGGTGCCTTCAGCCTTCCACGACCCAGGCATGGAGATACCGTTGCCTGTGCCAGCTTACAGTTCCTGGTATCCCGAGGAGGCACCAATACCAGAGGCCCTCTACCCTGGCATAAGTCCAGACCCCACATGCATACATCAAGCTCGGGATGAGTATGTCTTCAAGCTCGAGGAAGAGAATCGCTACCTCCGTGCCATGCTCCAGCATCACCTCGGGCCTAGGGCTGCCTCCCTGCCCCCATCCATCGTGGCCCCCAAAGCCGAAGTGGCAGCCGTGGAGTGTCCGCCCGGGCTAGGGCTCGAGGCTCTCCCCGAGCCACAGCTTGCCGCTCCAACCTCCTTGTCGCTGGGACTTTATCAGAAGATTCACCTAAACCCTAAACCCTAAACTCCACCTAAACCCTAAACCCTAAACTCCATAATACTCTGTAGGCTCTACAAAGTCCGTTCAGGTCTGCTCCCTGAAGCCTAAAGCTCGCTATGAGACACTCTTCCGGTCGACTTGTGAAAGCTCATCGGGGCCCAAGAGCATCTGCGACACATCACGTAGTTTGCCTGTGCCTGCATTGCGGACCGAGGCATCAAATCAGCCCGAAGCCCTCAACCCCACACTGCACCAC